GGGATACAAAACTAGGGCTGTACTCACTAAAAACTAAACTAGCTAGGCGATAAACAAATATGACCTAGCTAAGATGCATAGAAATATTTGTTGAAACACCCCATCGTCTAGATAGTGGCAGTTCATTAAAAAAAAAAAAAAAAAAAAAAAAAAAAAAAACATAGTACACCCGGGCAGCACTACTAGTCTGACCTCTGGTGAGGACAACAAGGCAACTCAGGGCAGCACTTCTAGTCTGACCACTGAGACAAGAGGCCACAAGGCAAGTCAACAAGTGTAGCAAGACATGCAGATATAGAACAACAAGTACAAGCAGGTATAGTATGACTCGGGAGACAAGGAGTGGTGCTTCTACGGAGATGAGACCAAGCTGAGTACAGAACCGCTGATGGTCACGAGGCGCAAGTGCCTTGGTGAAGCTTTCAGCGGCGTTGGCCTCTGAGGCCAACTATACCACTCAAGCTTGGCCGCGCTGTTGCAACTCACACAGCAAGAAGTGCTGCAGCTGGATGTGCTTTGCCTTGCCCTCCAGTCGAGCCTTCTGACACAGAAGAATCATGGCCTTGTTGTCAGCAAATAGGACCGGGGCAATCCTAGGCTGCTCACCTAAATCGGTGAGCATGAACGTCAACCAGCGGAGCTCTTGAGCGGCCATAGCCCCAGCATAGATCTCGGCCTCACAACTGGACTGAGTTACACACGACGACCTGGTGGACCTCCAAGAGACTGCACCAGCACCAAGACTAAAACAGTAGCCCTGAGACGACCTAAGCGTCTCCACGTCGTCAGCCCACGACACGTCTGTGTGTACTGTGAGCACCACTTGCTCCCGTCCTCCTAGCACAAGCCCCAGTCCTGATGTACTCACCAGCTACCGCAGTACCCTCTTGGCAGCTGACGAGTGGACTGGTCGATGCCTGCCTGTCGCAACAAACCGAGCCAAGAGACTGAGAGGGTACGCTAGATCTGGTCGAGTGCAAGTCATCGGGTACATAAGACACCCCATCATCTCTGCGTATGGACCACTAGCCTTGACCGGCTCAGCCGGGACAGGAACAGAGAGTTTGTGATCCACATGCAGAGGGGTGGGCTGTGCTGACGAGAACTGGAGACTGAACCTCTAGAGGATCTGCTACACCATATGGGACTGGGAGAGTGATCGTGCGAGCACCACGGTTATGAGAGATCTCCAAGCCCAGATAGCGCCTCAGCTCCCCCAAGTCTGTACAGGTGTGTCTCCTAAATAACTCGGCCTTCACTGAGGCCAGTGCCACTCTGTCAGGAGTAGCAAAGATAAGATCGTCTACGTACACTAGAATGTAGAACGGTGTCTGACCCGTGCGAACAAAGAGAGAGGGGTCAGCAGAGAACGGAAAGAACTGCAGCTCAGCAAGAGTGGTGCGAAGCGTTTCGTGCCACTTACGGGGTTCCAGACGAAGGCCGTAGACAGGACGGCGCAGGCTCCACTTGGTCCCAGGTGGGAAGGACCTAGAGAAGCCTAGAGGGCGTTGGAGGTAGATCTGCTCATGCAGACTACCCTGCAGGAGGTCTGGAAAAAGTCCACACCCTCAAGCTGTCTGAAGCCTCTAGCCACGTAACGCGCCTTGAACTTCGGAGGCTCTCCAGGTGCGCGCTTCACCCTGTAGATCCACATGCCATCAACTACGTTTGCCCTATGCAGGGGAACTGCGTCCACGTAAGTGCGTGTGGATCTGTAGGTTGCCATCTCAGCCTTCATGACCTGTATCCACTGGGCTGCCCAGGGCTCCGACAATGCCTCAGCGTAAGAGCGCGGTACTGGGATGTCGAGAGCGTCTTGGTCGCCCACTGGGGATACAAGCATGGAGTAGAGATGGGGAACAGCGGCAGCAAGGTAGGCCAACTCGTACTGCCTGTCCTCTAGCACGTCACTGCCAAGAGCAGGTGCACCCCCGACGGACGGAGGACGGGCAGTACCAGAGACAAGAGCGATAGTGTAGTTAAGGCGGTGGCTAACGGTGAAGTCAGTGACAGCAGCGACAAGCGCAGAGACAGTCTCAGGAGGAGCAGTAGGGTCAGTGACATGCAATGTAAGCAAGCGCGAGAGGGTAGGACAAGCAGCGAGAGCAACTTTGGGGTGAGGAGGGGAGAACGACGGAAGCGACGATGGGGGAGGCAATGGGAGGACTGTGACTAGAGGAGCACACGAACGAAGAACCATAGGGTGGACACTAGGACGAGGAGAGACAGGACAAGCACCAGAGGGGCGACGAACCCAATGGGGAAAGACTGGGGACTGGGGACGAGGGGGAACGGGGGACAAGTTTGGGGACGGAGGGGAGCGCGGGGGAAAACGAGTCGAAGAGGAGTCCGGAGGAGGGAACAATGGGTCGTAAATAGGGTCACGCATCGGAGGGGGAACGGGCTGGCAGACAGGGGAACCAGGAGCAAGACCAAGGAGACGAAGGGCAGACTGTGGCTGCTCCTACTGCGGCAGCTGTGCCTACTGCTGCAGCTACTGCTGCTGCTGATGCGGCTGCCGCTGCGGCTGCAACTGCTCCCTATCCTCTCCATGACCTCCAGCGTCACCGTGGCTACCACCGGCACTCCCCGAGACAGCACCCCCAAGACGAGCACCCTCGGATGCACCACCCACAGAACCAGCAACCCCAGAACTCGCAACCCTAGAACCAGCACCCCCAACACCAACTCCACCAACACCAGCAGCCCCAACACCAACACCACCAATACCAGCACCCCTAGAACCATCACCCCCAAAGCCCACTGCTCCTTGCTTCTGCTACTGCTGCGGAGGCAAGGGAGGAGGCGGCTGAGGTGCCTGGGGTACCGAGGCTAGGGGAGGTGCCACAGGGACAGTAGGCGCGCCCCTAGCTGCTAGGCCCCCAGAGTCAGCCGACTCCCCCACAGGCGCAATCGAAGGGAACTGAGTTGCGTGGGAGACACCAGACTAGGCCGGGCGGGGCGGGAGAGGAGCGGCAGGCGGGGCAGGGACAAGGAAGAGAGGAGGAGGAGGCACATGAGTGCTGCGGTTCGGGAAGCGATGGTACTAGGGAAGAATCTCATTGAAGGTAACGTCATGAGAGTGGTAAAAGCGGTGGTGTGACGGGTGGTAGAACAGCCAGTCAGAGGCGTCAAGTGGAAAACCCAAGAAGACACAAGGAAGGGTGCGGGCTGAGAGCTTGTCCGCAGAAGTGTCGCGGACGTGAGCAAGGCTGCCCCAGACGTGGAATGCAGACACGTCACCAAGACACCCGGTCCAGAGGAGGGCCGGCAAAACCTGTAGCCGCTGGGAGCATGGCCACAAGTTAAGCTAGTGAGCAACGTAGTGCACAGCGAACGGCCAAAGAAAATGGGGTGCACCAGCGTGGACCATGGAGATGCGAGCCACCTCCATGATCAGGCCGATGCGTTGCTCAGCGACCCCATTCTAATGTGGGGAGTCCGGTAGTGTGTATGTCTGGAGGATGCCCTGCGCACGGCAGAAACGTCCTAGAGTGCCAGAGGCGAACTCGCCACCTCGATCAGAGTGTAAGCAACCTACAGGCAGGCGATGGGGCAACACTAGAAGCATCACAATATAGAGAATACAAGGCATGATCGATCTGAAGCGAATCCATATCAAAGATAGGAACCCCATGACGAAGCAAGACATGGCAGGGGGGTACCTGCACCCGCGGGCCAAACTGACGACGGTAGAGGTCGTCCAGGTAGCGGAAGCAGCGAGCGGCGGTGTGCCCCGTGCGCTAGCACACCTGGCCTGCATGTGGGCCAGTCCGCAGCTGGTACGTACAGGTCACCGCGCCACCAGAACCACCAGCACCCGAACTCACGAAGGAGCCACGCGACGCCCAAAGCCCCAAGTGCCCTGGGCCCCAACCCCTACGGCCTCCATCACGACCACCACCCCCAGGGCCCGTCGGCCCCCATGACTGCTGCGGCTGCTGCAGCTGCTGCTGCGCAGTCCCCGACTCTGACTGACCACCCTCTCCATCCGCACCCGCTGCTGTCGACCCCCCACAACCCTTGCCCCCCTTGCCCTTGCCCTTGCTGCTAGAGGAGCGGCCGGGGGCAGAGGAAGCTGCTGCGTTCTTAGCAACACATGCGGAGGCAAGGACTAACACTGGGGCAGGAGCGCTACCCTGAAAGATAGGGAATGCTGGCGCACCAGTGGAACCAGCGATGGCGCAGAGGCGGTCCTCTACCTCAGTCAGGGAGGTGGAGAATAGGTCAAGGGTGAGCTCAATGGGGTGACGAGCGAGGAGCATGTCGCGGGCAGGGGCTAGGTGGGCAGGGAGGCGGGTGATAAGGAAGTAGATAGTGGCGAAGAGGGGGGGGGGGCGAGCACTAGCTGAGCCTCACTACAAGCCGCACGCCAGCAAGCCTCGAGGGAGCGTAGGTGCTCGACTAAGTCTGCTACTATGGTGAAGGACGTCAGGTCAGGGTGGTAGAAGGGGAGGAGGAGACGACCAAGAGTGGCAGACGACGGGGTGGAGTACCTAGCAAGGATAGTCAGCCAGAGTGCGCGGGTTGACGCAGCACCCACAAATTGGGAGTGCTCGTTAACTGGCAGGCACCTGAGGATGGCTACGCGAGCAGTAGCATCGCGGGATGCCCAGATAGAGTAGGCAGTACGAGCAGCAGCGTGCACAGCCTGCTGCGCAGACGTCACGTCATTAGCAAGAGCGCCCGGACGGCGGACAGCAAGGAGCTCACCAGAGACGTGGCCGTCCAGGGATCCGTCATCGACGCGCTGACTCGTGAGCTGAAGGAGAACTGCCTCCTGCCAGGCGGCGAAACCGACTGCCCGCCCCTCCCCATCCAGGCGCAGGACGAAGACGCCATGCTGGCAGCTGCTTCTGCGATAGAGGCGGCAGATTCAGGGACAGCTGCTACAGGGGCAGCCAGGACAGGGGCTGCAGCGGGAGCCGGTGGTAGTGGCGGCTGCTAGCTAGCAACAGGATGGTAATGGCGGTGGGCCGACAGTGAGCTGGATAGCAGAGGCGGCTGCGTAGCTACGGGCGAGCCGCGGCAGTGGTGGCAGCGGTGGCAGCGGTGGCAGCGGTGGCAGCGGTGGCAGCGGTGGCAGCGGTGGCAGCGGTGGCAGCGGTGGCAGCGGTGGCAGCGGTGGCAGCGGTGGCAGCGGTGGCAGCGGTGGCAGCGGTGGCAGCGGTGGCAGCGGTGGCAGCGGTGGCAGCGGTGGCAGCGGTGGCAGCGGTGGCAGCGGTGGCAGCGGTGGCAGCGGTGGCAGAAGTGGCAGCGGTGGCAGAAGTGGCAGAAGTGGCAGAAGTGGCAGAAGTGGCAGAAGTGGCAGAAGTGGCAGAAGTGGCAGAAGTGGCGTGAACCTGACGTGAATCGAACACGCAACCTTCTGATCTGGAGTCAGACGCGCTACCATTGCGCCACAGATCCATGACAAATAATTTATACAAATTTACTCGTATTGTTAACGTGTAATTTTAAAGCCTGCGTCTCATATTTCTCCAAACCTTCCTTTGTTATGAGAGAGTGACTGGAGGGCGAGATACTAAATATTTGGGGAAGAGTGACGAGGGCTGCGAGCAAACAGAAAATCACGAAACCCTAGAACTTGGCCAACTGCCGTGTCTCGTAATTCTTGAGAGCTGTACTACAGTTGGTAGGGCGTGGACTTGGGGTTGGCTGTTTTCTAAAGTTCGAAATCAGTTGCGTTCTTGGTTCAGTTTTTGTGTAGCTCTGGTTTCATGCGACGTTTCCCTGACCCCAAACCTTTGTTACTGGAGCTAGTTACGGAAACTAGTATTCTACCGTAGCCAACCGAACGCGACCTGAGGATCACGTCCCCTTTTCGGATCGAGGTTGGATGTTTTTTATCGCATGCACTTGCGAGACCTCGCATTCTGAGAGGCTTGGTTACCTAGTACCAAAGGTATTACCTTTGACGTCTCTCGAGAAATATGAGACGCGGGCTTTAACTCGACAGGGGGAATCTTTTTGGATCGTAGGTATTGGTGGTAGTCTAGCTCAAAACTGTCACATAGTGGTTATAGATCGCGTTTTTCATGGGAAATTTGTTTTCCCACCAAAAAAAAAAAAAAAAAAAAAAAAAAAAAAAAAAAAAAAAAAGGCCTGCTCGACGGACGTACAAGTGACGTAACGTTACGCGTACAATGATACGTGTTCGTGGGCTGGACCCACGTAAGGTACCAGCCTAGGTTCTTACACAAGTCAGACTTTGATCCTCCCTACATACAACGAGGGTCGTGCCGTCGATGTAAACCAGGGTTATGTCGTCGATTCATGTGAGGATCATGTCGGAATCATGCCATTGATGTTGACCAGGATCATGGTGTCGATGTAGGCGAGGTTCATGTTGTCCATGTAAACCAGGATTGTGCCCTCGATATTGACAAGGATGTAGGAGTAAGGTTCGAGGTGTGAATGGTGCGATGACGTCTGTCCATGAGGGTTAAAGGCCAAGTGTTTGATAGGTAGTCGCAAGCTTGTTGTGTACCTTTTGGGGACCTATGTGAGGCCGTACACGGTGTAACACAGCTCCCATACAGTGCTCATCGGAAGAGTGGAACAAGTTGGTCGGTTGATGAAGCTCTGTTTGTGGTATTCGCTTGCAGGAAGGCATTAGCGGCATCCACAAGTTATATCTCCATGTCCTCCTGAGTTGCGGCATGGACGACCGCATAAATAGAGAGCAGCTTTGCAGTAGAGGAGTTCGTCCTCTAGGAGTAGTCTCCGTATTCCTAAGGTCATGTGCGCGCGCGCGCGTGTGTGTGTATGTGTGTGTGTGTGTGTGTGTGTGTGTGTGTGTGTGTGTGTGTGTGTGTATATGTGTATGTGTGTGTGTATGTGTGTGTGTGTGTATGTGTGTGTGTGTGTGTGCGTATGTGTGTATGTGTGTGTGTGTGTGCGTATGTGTGCATGCATGCGTGCGTGTATGTGTCTGTGTGTGTGCGTGTGTATGTGTGTGTGTGTGTGTGTGTGTATGTACGTGTATGTATGTGTGTGTGTGTGTATGTGTGTGTGTGTGTGTGTATGTCTGTCTCTGTGTCTGTGTCTATATGTGTGTGCGTGTGTGTATGTGTATGTGTATGTGTTTTGTCAACATCCATACGACTACTACTAGTAGTATGAGGGATCCTAGTCCTAAGATGCTAGTTGAGTCTAGAGTTTGTTGGCAGTAGTTAGGTTGGCGACTTACAATGCGTGGAGGAAGGGAGAACATTTGTTGAGGGGGTTTGGGTTGGGTTAGGCAGGGGTTGTTTGCGAACTGTACAATCCATTGACTAATTTGAGACGCACTAGTGACGAGGTTTCACGCATGCCAAATTTTGCCAACCACCAACCAATCGCAGCGCACCTCCCAGTGACTTTCGTCACGCCAGCAGCCGTCGGCAATTTGGTTTTTTTACGAAACCGATTGGCTTCGTCGCATCTAGCAGAAGCACGCTTTCGCATCCCTGCAAATTCCTACGAGGTGCTTTCGCTTAAATCAATTCGCGGTTCCATAAACCATTCCGCATGACCAATTTAGTTTGCCACAAGTCTCCCTCGACTAGAGCAAGCTCCAAGAATATTGGAAATTGCGCTTAACGTAAGGGGTCGCACACTAGGGGCAGATGTGCACTTATCGATTCCGCTGAAGTGGGAGCTCTGTTCGTTGTGTACTGTTTAGGGGCGGGAACCCTGGCGTATTGTATGACATTGGCCCAAGTTGCCTCGTCGCACACCTTTTGCATTGCGTTACGAGCCTGAGTTGCAAACCCACACGAATTTTGATGCGCCAAATTACAAACAAAGATGATTGGGCATGCCCTGGAGTTTGACACTTGGCATTGGTAAATACACCTAGCTCGCGGTAATTTCACACCCTGAAATTGGGTGGCAGCAAAATTTTTGTTTCTTCCCTGACCATTTCTAAGTGCGTAGACAATGCTCCCTTGTTGCTACGGCACAAGCGCGGCAGACTCCACGCGGGAAAAAACTTTGAGCACTGCCTAAGCTGACATCGGGTTTCCTGACTCGAAAAACACTAGATCGAGTAGTAAACGCTCTAACACTAGCTTTCGTATAGAAATCCAAGATAAATTTGTTCTTCAATGTATCTGGATCTGGTCTTCAAGAGCTGTTTTTGGGGGGTGAATACCATCTCTGTGGCACCCCCTGTGAAAATACTGGGTGTGAAAATAAAGTGGGCTAGGTGTACTCCCACCCAGGAGTGTTGGGCATCCTTTCGGATGACATTCTTGAAGGGGGAAGGATGGATGGCATGCTGTGGTTGGGCATGACTAACTACTCGCATTGCAGAATTCCAATGGTTTTCGTCAGCAACGATGGCGTGTGCTGTTAATTGGGTCGTAACTTGGACACTTTGAGATCGTCTTTGGTCGTCGACCACTCAGGATTGTTTCTATGATTGTGGCTGGGATTGTGCCTGATTAGCTATTTCTGTTTTTATTGCGTACGTGGGGTTTGCACGTACCATAATCCCCTATATATATTACCCTATGGTGGTAATAAAAATTCATCAAAATTTTGGGGTGGGTGGAAATAAAGGCAATTTTCATATAACACCCAAAAACTATGGAATGTGCAAATGGATTTTTCCAATAAAAATGAAGCTATTTGTGCGCAGCGAGTTTCAGATATATTTGTGGCATATTCACTCGCTGCCCTTCCACGACCGTCGATCGCATGCAGCCTCATGCAATGGACGGTCGTGAAGGGCTTTCCGTAATTTCTGCAGGGGCTGTTCAACAGGTTTCACGTCCAAAGCTAGGGTGTTAACTAGAACCAGTTAAATTAAAAACCCATCCACGCTCAAGCTACCCGGGGGTGCTGAATTCCGGCAGGTATTATATACCGGGGAATACGGTAAGGAAAAAATGCAATTTGTGAATATATTTCTCTGGAGTCGTTGCATTAGTCGAGGGCAGGGCTTATGCTAGGATTTTCACTAGCCCGGACGATTTGGGCCCCTCCGAGAAATCCCCTGTAAAATCCGAGCCAAGCTGAGGATTACTCGGACGAATCAGGGACTGGACCGGAAAAGGCCTGAGCGCCACAAAATTTTGGGGATGGGGCCCCAGCCGAGGGGGAAAACTTCAGCTCTAGGAGCTCTAGGAGCTATCTTCCTAGAGTGACCGATTCACCCTAGCCTCAGCTCCAACAGTCCACACATCTGAGGAAGGGTTTGGGGGAGGAGGGGGGGGTGGGGGGGGGTGGGGGTGGGTGGGTTAGGGAGGTGAGGGGGTTGCCTACGGTCCTTGCAAGCAATTAAAGACCGTGCTTCATGGCTAAGTCTCCAGGCACAGGTTGAGGGTCTTAGGGACAAAGTGGAAAGGCAAGGGGCTACATGGGGGGATCAAGAAGAATCAGAAAGTATCTATCCCAATCCCCCCGTCCCCCTGAACCTTTGAAATGTCCAGGTTCGATCACAAGATTCCCGGACGTGTCCGGGTCGTTACAAACAGTGCCCTGCACTCGTCAAGGCTGGCCTTAAAAAGGCATGGTTGAAATCCGGGCTGCTCTGTGAAATACCTTGCATTTTCAGTCAAGACAGTTTGATAACCCTGTTATTTTCAGCCCTGGTCAAGGGTGACCTGTACCTAACTACACCAATTTGCTATCCAAATCCACATAATTACAAACGACGACTTCCCTTTGTCGTATTTTGTACAGATTTCAGCACTAGGGCTTCTGTTGTGATGGCCAATGCTGATGCCCACTCAGTTTGGAGGTTTGTCAACGTTGATGAGGGTGGTGAATTCGACTCAACTTTGAGAAAAAAATGCAAAATTTTCAACCGCGTTTGGAAACGCAATGTGGTGCGCCCGTATAACTATATTATTGGCACCCACAATAGCAACGTAATCGCGTGCCCTTCGGCTACTTTTGGGGCGAAGAAGATAGTTAGGGCCACCCTAGCCAAAAAGAAGAGCGACGAGGACGAACAGAAGAAAGTGAGCCAAAGGATGACGATTGCATTCATGCATGCTCATGCCATCACCATAGCCACCAACATGACAGAGGAAAGTGGTGAGAGGCGAAGCGATGCGGAGGACACTAACCGATACGCGTCCTAAGCCATTGGACGCTACAAACGTGCAGTTGGCCATTGCTATATTCTTCCACGTTTGTCGCATTCCGCCAGACGTGGTGGAAAACAAAGTCCTCAAATCCATGCTGAAGAAGGTGGCATCTGTGGACCCACTTGGACGTCGACAAATTATGGGTTGTCTGTGTGAGGATTGCAAGTCAAATATCGAAAACAAAATCAAGGAGGTGAAGCAGACGTGGACCAAAATCTAAGTGAATTCCGTGTGCGATGGATGGAAAAAAATGGGGAAGGCTGCCCTTAGCTCAACTTCTTGGCGGTCAGCTCGTGCGCATATGCCTTCTTGTTTGGTGTTAGCTGCGGTGTGGGTAAGAAAGGAGCGAACTACATTGCCAAGCAGTTGAAGACAGTGGTTGAAGATGTCAGCGCTAAGAAAGTTGTTGGACTGCTGATGGATGGTGCGAGCATGAGCGCCACCTCTGCCAACCAGGTTGCATAGGAATATCCTTAAGTGGAGTGGATCTACTACGCCGCACAATCGCTCAGCCTCATGATGAAGGATATCGGCGAACTTGACTGGGCCAAACCAACATCGGCAACGCACAACAAATGATTTCAACTTAGAAAAAATGGGCAATGAATCACAGGCCACTTTCGGCTGGAGGATCCGCTGAAGGTGTTGAAGTGTGCTGGCACTTGGTTCGGGACCAACTACATCGCCTTGAGCGTTTAATGTATGTGCGTCGCACATTGGCGAAGATGGTAATGACCGAGGGTTTCAAGGACCATCTGAAGGGGATGCAAAAACTAAAGGAAGCACGCAATGCGATTCAGAGGGCCAGAATCTAGAAGGGCATTGAGAAGATGGTTGTCGTTCTCAAGCCGGTCTACATGACGCTAAGGCAGGTCGACGGTGTGAGAGTACGACCCCGCTACACCAATTTCCCGTTTCCATATTTCCTTTCCATTTCATTCCACTTTTTATCCTGGTTCCTATGCTCTTTATCTCACCTCATTTGGTTTCCTATTCCTATTTTTCCATTATCTTTTGGTTTATCCTGTTATTATAGTTATATTACCGACCAGGCTTGGGATGTACTGGTGCGCTATATCTAGCGTAATCCTGTCGTAATCCCTTAAAGCCAATAGTCTCATGTGGCTATACCTAGGGTGATTCTATTTCTAGAAGGGAATATTCCCTTTAGATACGATAAACCTGGTGACGTAATGCACTCTGGAAGTATAAAAGCACCTTGTACTCATGGATAGGGCAACATTGAGCCAACCTCATTCGATCCTGTGACAACCTGGAAGTGATGGGAAAGTTTTATGAGATGATGATTAATTCGGAGGAGCAAGTGGAGAAAGCGAGCGTGGATTTTGAGACCGACGAGGCGTAGGAGATTGCAAAGATTGTGCGGAACGGCAGCAATGGGGCTCCGCATGAGAGCTAGAGGAACAGTAAAAGGGGGCGCAGAGGCGACATACTAATGGCGATGATGATGGCCCCCCGGTCAACACTATTAAAGGTGTTGGTGAGGTCCACTTGTAGTATGAGGGACCTTGGGCACTCGGAGGCATAAGCCCGAGTGGCATGAACGATGACCTTCCTGCCACTTCGGATAGCGACGTCGTGCTGGAGAGGTAGGAAATACAGTAGACTTGGCAGCTAGGCGATTTAGTCACTCGCCTATGGCTATTGGGCGAATGCCCCAGTTGGGCTTAGCGAGGGCGAGGAGCCGAGATGCGGTCAGCAGCTGGCTGACCTCGTGTGGGAGGTTACTGGCGAGGAGGAGGAGTACGATTTCGTCCACGTGCTTGGCGACCGAGGGGTTCGTGAGCGAGACGTCGCGAAGATGTTCAAAAGTCATCCCCGAAGGTCCCGCGCCCACCCCCTTCTCGCTTTGCGAAAGAAGTTTCGTGAATTCAGCGAAGTCGATAGTGGGCGGGTCGTTGCCTTCGGCCAGGAGGGCCGAGTCGAGGTCATCGGTCAAGGGTGGAGGGTGCTTTGACTTCAGTGAGTCAAGGACAGCAGGGGCTGACTCGTTGACTGGGGTCGAATTGAGGACCCGCAAAGTACGCTGAAGGCTGCCACGGTGCACCAACCCCTCGACTCGGGATATTTTCCCAAGTGTGTCAGGGACATGTCGAGGTGGGGGTGGCTGTGTGACAGCAGCAGTGGCGGACTGGTAGAGGGCGTCCCACTAGATGGCGAGGAATTGCTATAGCAGTTTTTCTGTCGCTGGCCAATCAGGGTGTTTCGGTGATGGGAGACGAAGACTTAGGCACGGGAGAAAAAGTAACAAACGCCAGTCCCCAGCTGAGGTTAATTTTTTGTCGAGGAAAAGCAGGGGCCTCAGCAGGGCGAGCACGAAACGTTGACAAATGGGGGGGGGGGGGGGGAGAGGGTATCCAGCGAGAAAGGGGGGACTGGCGACTATCGCACAGTACCCGAATGTCCTAGCAGGTGACTTGGGCGAATCAGGAAGTGTCACTCGCCAACTCTTCCCGAGACATCTGCCTGGCTGTCTGGGAAGTGGGGGACAGCAGAGGCTGTGCATTCCGTGTGGCGCCAAGTCCCAGCCCCCTTGATCTTGGAGAGGGAGGAGCTCTTGCTCCTCTTCCTTGTGTGCGGGCAGACTCTTCTTGTGCATCACTTGAGTTGTCCGTGGTTGACTCTTGATGAACACCAGGCATACATGTGGAGTCTCGGCGCTCCTCCTCATATGTAGTGTCTCGCAATTCCTGTTCCCTTAAAGCCTGATGTGCAGCTTGTTGGAAGCCATTCAACAGGCCACCTTCCCCCGCCAAGTCGCCTACCCATGACCATCCACGTCTGTGCCTACGATCTCCGCACCTGCCTCCCCTATCCCGTCCCTCAATCCCACCGGTCGACGCTTGCCGTCCGCGCTCCCGATCGATCAATGCCACGGAGCCCCACGATGGACCCCCCGCGTGAGGAGGGGGGGAAGGGTGTCCCCACCACGAGCGCTCCTATGATTGGAGAGCACCGGGGAGAGCGCGCCCCGCCCAGATCAGTGGAGCTCCCCTCCACTGTCAAACCGCAACTGGGAGCACGAGACCTCTGTCCCGTCAACAAGCCAACGGCAGACCCCGGAGCGTATGCCTGGTCGGGTGGGGAGCCGCCCCTTGACTCGACAGCTGCGCGAGCAGAAGATCCCCGAGCGCGCGACCCAGGGCTGCCAGAATGGGACGCCACAGCAGCGGCCGCAGGCTCCGCTGCGCCAAGGGACCCCTCACTGCGTGGCACAGGCGTAGCCGGTGACTCAGCACCAGACGCCGCAGGGGCAGCGTGGGCGTTTCGGCCAGCGCCACAGCTGGAGGGTTGGCGGTGGGAGCAACCGGGGATCGGCCACGAAGAGGCGTCTGGGCCGCACTGTGGTGACTCTGGAAGGCCTCTTCCGTACTGTCAGCCAGCTGCCGCCGTCCCATGCATTTCCTCCGCAACAGCAGTATCCGCCAGTGCAGCTGCACCAGTCGAACTTCCCCCCGCCGCAGATATCGGCCCAGTCCCTTCCACCACATGTGACCATGCAGCCACCGCCACTGTCCTACAAGCAGCTCCCACAGCAGCCACCGACCGCGCATTCTCAGCCACAGGGGCCCCCCACACCCCAGTACCTGCAGCAGCAGCTGTCTTGCAGTATCTGACAGGAGCGCCGTCCGCGGAGACACTGCCCCGCTGGCAGCCGCTGCCGCTGGAGGCGTTAGTAGTTGGCTGGCCTGACATCCAGCATCAGCCGATGGCCCCTATGTCGTTTGGCACCCGGGTGGTGGCGCCATTCGTCCCTTCCCGGCGTGCTCTGGCGTCACCGACTAGAGTTGAGGGGGGGGCAGAAGCAGCGAAGAGGGGGGGGGGCGGAGTACGCAGGGGGCTCGCCCCATAGCGACAAGTGGATCTCGCTGTCTTGTTAACGCGAGTGTAGACTACACCCACCCCAGGAACAACGTTGGACCCATGCCTGCTCGCCGTGATGCGTGGATTATCGGGGAGCATAGACTTGGCTGCAACTGTAGACATTGTTGGCAGCATCGTGCCAGTGCTGTTGCTTCTGGTGGGCTATATGACAACATTGCTGGTGGAATCGGGAGCGGACCAAATTGCGTGAGGGGCTCCCTCCGTGCGTATGTGCGCGTGGGCGACGTGCCCACCAGCGAGAGTGCCCTGGTACGCTGGATGAGGCTCTCCACCCCACTATAGTAGGTTGCCGTAAGGATGGGCTCGCGGGTGTAGTGAGTAGAGCCCGCCGGGAAGTGATGTCACTATGTGCTTGTTTCCGTTGTCAAAGTTTTGCAGTCAACTTGCCGACCCCTACTGCGCGTCCCCTACTTCTCAACCTTTTCTCCCAAAGGCCGCCAGTACGAGCCGCCACCAACAGAAGGAGGAATGAAAAACCAAAACTAAAATAGAGGAATGAGAGGCCCAGGGACTCTAAATACTAGGGGCATATCTCTCTCTCTCTCTCTCTCTCTCTCTCTCTCTCTCTCTCTCTCTCTCTCTCTCTCTCTCTCTCTCTTTCTCTCTCTCTCTCTCTCTCTCTCTCTCTCTCTCTCTTTCTCTCTCTCTCTCTCTCTCTCTCGCTCTCTCTCTCTCTCTCTCTCTCTCTCGCTCTCTCTCTCTCTCTCTCTCTCTCTCTCTCTCTCTCTCTCTCTCTCTCTCTCTCTCTCTCTCTCTCTCTCTCTCTCTCTCTCTCTATCCCGTTCGCTCGACCTGAATCTCTTCCCCGTATCTGTTATGCTCTCTCTCCACATCCCTCACACTCTCCGCGGCACCCACCGGTTGAAAAAGCACTGGTTTATGGCAGCAGATCACAATAGTGAGTCGCTCCTAACTAAATCCAGGAGCCATGAACTTTTTCTGAACTTGGAGGTTGTGAAAACAGGATAAATATGGCAGTCACAAATGGTGTAATATAGATCTTGAAGGGCTTGGTTAGAACCAGTATGAGTCGTGCTAGTTTGTTGAGGTGTCCAAATGTATCCAAATCTGGTTTAGTGTGCATTGCTTGAAGTATTAGCCAATAGGAATTTTGCGGGCGCAATCCAACCCCAATGTTTCTTTTGGTGATTGGGTGGTTACCACAATTGCAACCCTATCAATCACCCAAGCTAGAAATTCCCAACATTTTCTTCCTGGCCTCTTCAACCCCACCATTCATTCCAAACATGCTCCCGTAACGTTGCGCATCGATAGAACTTAAGATGGTGAGACTAGGCGTGCTAGTTGGGCAATAACGGTAGGGCCTTATGGCAATATGTTACACTCCCTCTTCACGTGTCGCTGCTATGTCTCCCGATTTCCGTGTCTCGCGCATGTTCTTCCTTCTGTTTCTCTCACCCTCCTCCTCACTGTGCCTCTTCTCTCCCCTGCGCATTCCAATTCTCTATCTCTCTTGCTTCTTTATCACCCCCTCCACCCTCTCTTCCACTCTCTGCGGTTTCGTCCTTCATAAGTCTTCTCCTTGTGCCCATTCACTCTACCCACCACTTTTGCGTTCACGTTTCTCTCAGCAAGTGCAGGGTTGCGAGTGACTGAAGCAATTGAGATCATGGGACATTGTTGTGAGGTAAGTGTCGAGAGAATTGATGACTAGAGAGGAGAGACACAAGGGCATATCTAAGTGTTGTACCCTATATAGCATGAAACCTAGCTAGACTATAGTGTTTATATATAATCCTAACAAAGATATATATGAATGCTAACATACCCCCTAGTCTGGGTAGGGGGCAATGCCTAACAACAATAGTAATCCGAGGCAGCCCTACCAGTCTGGCCTCTAGTGAAAGTAACAAGACAACTCAGGGCAGCACTCCTAGTTTGACCATTGAGACAAGAGGCCACAAGGTCAGTCAACAAGTATAGCAAGACATGCACGTATAGCACAACAGGTACAAGCAAGTATAGTATATATCAGGATACAATGAGCGGAGCTGCTACTGAGACTAGACCAAGCTGAGTAAAGGACCACTGATACTCACCAGGCGGTAGTGCCTTGGTGAAGATATCAACAGCGCTGGATTCTGAGGCCAATTGTACCACACGAGCCTGACCGCACTGCTGCAACACACGCAACAGGAAGTTCCGCAGCTGGATGTGCTTCGCCTTGTCCTCAACTCGAGCCTTTTGACACAGGAGGATCATGGCTATATTGTCAACAAACAGGACTGGGGCAGACCTAGGTGGCTCACCTACTGTAAGTCGGTGAGCAAGAATGACAGCCAGCGGAGCTTCTGAGCAGCCATGGCCATAGCATAGATCCCTGCCTTACAACTAGACTGAGCTACAGACGATGACCTAGTGGACCTCCACAAGACTGCTCCCGCTTCAAGACTAAAACAGTAGCCTTGTGAGGACCTGAGCATCTCCAAGTCGTTAGCCCACGACGCGTATGTGTGTCCAGTGAGAACCAGTGGCTTTCGTCCTCCTAGCACAAGCCCCAGCCCTGATGTACTCACCAAATACCGCAACACTCTCTTGGCAGCCGACCAGTGCTCCGGTCGGTGTCTGCTAAAAGCAACAAAGCGAACAAGGATAATGAGAGGGTACGGTAGATCTGGTTGAGTGCACATCATCAGGTACATGAGGCACCTCACCAGCTCTGCATATGGACCACTGGGGTCAGCCGGCTAAGCCCGAATAGGAGTAGAGAGCTCGTGATCCACACGTAGAGGGGTGGGATATTTTAACGAGAACTGAAGGCACCGGTGGAGGATCTGCTGCACCATGTGGGACTAGGATAGTGTGATCATGTACGCGGCATGATCACAAGAGATCTCCCAGCACAGATAGCGCCACAACTCTCCCACGTGTGTACAAAAATGTTGCCTAAGCAGCTAGGCCTTCACTGCGGCTAGTGCGAATCTTTTAGGAGTCGCAAATATAAGGTCATCTACGTGTACAAGTATGTATAACGGAGTCTAACAAGTATGAACAAAAAGTGAGGGGTTAACTGAGGACGAGAAAACCTGACGAGCCGAGAGTGTAGTGCAGAGCATGTCATGCCACTGATGGGGCGCTTGGCGCATACCACAGACACGGCGGCATAGGCTCCAATGAGTCCCAGGCGGGAAGGACCCAATGAAGCCTAGTGGGCGCCGTAGGTAGATTTGCTCGTAAACGCTGCACTGCAAGAAGACTATCAAGAATTGTAGGGAGTGAATCTTGTAGTCACGCTGTGCGGCTACGTGGAGGAGCACCCGAAGTGTAGTCACCAAAGGAGAATCTTCGGGGTAGGGGAGAAGGTCTGGAAGAAGTCCACACCCTCTCACTGACTGAAACCTCTAGCCATAGCGCGCCTTGAACGCAGGCGACTCTCCAGGCAGGCGCTTCACCTAATAGATCCACATGCCATCGCCTATGCTCATTCCAGTTGGAGGAACTACATCGACGTAAGTGCCAGTGGATCTATAAGATGCCATCTCCGCCTCCATGGTCTATATCCACTGGGCTGCCCAGGCACCTGAGACTGCCTCAGCATAGGAGCGTAGGATAGGGATGTCCAAGGCATCCGGTTCGCCGTCAAGGGACACAAGCATGGCTCAGATATGAGGTACATCAGCTGCAAGGAAGGCTAGCTCATATTGCATATCCCCTATGATTTCACTCCCAAGGGCAGATGCACCCCCGATGGATGGAGGACAGGCAGGGTCAGACCAAAGCGAAGGCGTAGTCGAGGCAGTGGCTCGCGGAAAAGTCAGCGACAGCAGCGACTGGGGCAGAGACACCCTCAGTAGGAGCCCCAGGCTTTGTGACAAGCGACGTGAGTAAACGAGAGACAACTTGTCACAGGATCGAATGAGGTTTGCTCAATCTTGCACTATCCATGAGTACAAGGTGCTTTTACAGTTCCAGAGTACATCAGGTAACCAAGTTTATCCTATCCAAAGGGAATAGATCCTTCTAGAAATAGAATCACTCTGCATATAGCCATGCAAGGCTGTTGGCTTTAAGGGATTACGGCAGGATTACGCTAGATATAGCGCGCCTGTACATCCCGAGCCTGGCCGGTGATATAATCATAATAACAGGATAAACCAAAGGATAATGGAAATGGAGGAATGAGAAACCAAATGAGATGAGATAAAGACGAAATGAATCGGGATAAAAAGAGGAATGAAATAGATATGAAATATGGAAAGGAGAAATTGGTGTAACGGTGTCGTACTCTCACACTTCCCCCTTCAAAGCAGGGTGGTAGAAGTAACACCCTGCTTGACAAGGTAGTCGCAAAGAGGACGACGGGCGTTACCATGTCGATTTTAGAGACGCAGCATCAGAAGGATCATAACCCTTCCAGCAAAGAAGGAGTTCCATAGTGCCATTCTGATGACGACAATGTCCGAGCACGTAGTTGTCCCATGTCGTGGACGAACACGGCGGCGACGGTGGTTGGCATTCGGTGTATAGCTTGTTTGGTCATGATAGGGTTTAAGAAGCTGGTATGGAAGGCGTTATGGAGCTTCCAAGTGGCTGGTAGGCGGAAGCGGAAGGTGACTGAAGTGACATTTGCTTCAACGGGGGTAGACTTGCAGAAGCAAGGTTGAAGCTTGGATGGAGTATGGCTGAGATTACGGTGTGGATAACTGTAGTGATGAGCGGCCAAGTGCTTCTGTTGTTGTTGGAGGTTGGAGAGGCGCTTGTGTGGCCGATCTTCGAGATGATGGACGATGGCGATGAAATCGTAAGCCAGTTGGACTGTAGCAAGAACTGTCTGTTGCTACAGAGTGAGCAGGCTCCGTCCACAACAAGAAAGGATAGCCGTCAGTGATACATGGGCAGGTGCAAGTTGTAGTTGGAGACTTGAGTGGTTGGAAAAGTGTGCTGTAACATGCAGATAAATGGCTATGTTGTCTGTTCTGTGCATGCCTGAAGATCACTTGCATCTCGTCCACGCCTGAAGATCACCAAGTGGTGGTGGTATGGCAGTCGTGTCGTAGTACTGCTTCTGTAGCAGTGTTGTATCCGTAACATGCAGCTTCTGTTGAATGCTGGTCCATGCCTTAGTGTTGTCGCGAGTTGTACCCTCTCGGCATCGTAGTGTTGCGGAATGGAGAGCAGAATCACTCGTAGTAACCCTGTCCATCACGCGGTCTGCTAGTCACATTACCTTGAGTACAACAGCGCATGCGAAGTGCTGCTCAGCATATCCCTTGTGTTCAAAACCATGCGAGGGGCTGGTACCATAAACGCGGAGCTGGTAACTTCCAGAATCGGCGCCAATGTAGTTTCCCTCGGTGGTTGCTCAAGCAAGGAATCTCAACTGTGTAGATATCCCACGGTGATGGGTTAGGACACTTGGGAATATAAGGGGTATTCCCAAATAATCCTCTCCCATTTCCAAATGAGCATTGCTGACAGCAAATCCAGTATGACCTTATGCACTTCTAGTTTAGCACGGAGGCCATCGGTAGGCATCCGTGTCTGGGCGAACATATTGGGATAGGTCTTCTGGTGCCATCATGTGTTGTCTCATTCTGTTACTGTCCTTGAAGTACCGTTGATGTCGAACACGTCTCAGCTATTCAACATCGATGTTGAAGTCTGCTCCATTTCGGCAAACAGGGGTGTTGTTGGAGATGCGCGGAGTCCACTATCCGGAGTGGCGTCGGCGCTCCATTTCATGCCTATCTGCTTCCATGGAGGTGGTGCTGGTGATGGATTGGTTGCGACGCAGGTTTTATGACTTTAACGAAAGCCATAGGCCATGAGGACTTGTATACCGGTAGAGTACCGTAGTCCTCCCATCCTCATAAGAGCAAATATCTCCTGCTCTTGAGGGTATATGGCATTGCCATATTGTTTCTTCGTATAGTGGTGTCTCTTTTCCACTAGCTGGAAATCATAGTACTGTGCCTGGCCATGACTTTTACGATCCACTGGAATATAATCCAGCATTATCTCCATTGAGCGGAGAATCATCCATCAGGGTTTGGATATGACTGTTGTGTCGAGTCTTCTGCTGCGACGGCGGCGACTGTTGCAACAATGGCGACGGCGGCAACTGCTGCAGAGAATTCTCTTAACTCGTAATGGTTTAAAAAGAATCCATCAACTCCCTCATCCCAGTAGAGTTTTCCAAATGGGTGTAATAGACGTAACTACCAGGATCATGTGCATTTTGGTACACATGTGTTGCTCCATTGCTGCCGGTGATGGTTTCATTTGAGGGTG